CAAAGCGGCATTGTCCGCCTCGTAGATGTCATAGCCCAGGAAGCTTGCGCAGCGTTCTGAGTCCCTTCATGGCTCTCCATCTGCACGTTCCATTCCCGAGCTCTCAGGTCGTTTTCAACCATAGCTTGTGGCACCCAAAGATGCCCTGGTGAAGCACCTCCCGCAGCAGTCATTGCCACGGCCATGGTCCTCACCGCCACCTGCTCACGATTGCCCACAGCATCGTCGCCAACGACACCAGCATTCGGAGCTGCATCCGCGGCCCTTGGGCTCATAACCTCTTGGTGCAGAGGCTCGGATGCTTGGGCTGGCAAGGCAGAATCATAGTTAGGCTCAGTCACACCGGGCTCCATGGCTGACAAGAGCGCTGATCGAATTCGAACTTTTTCCAAGACACACGCACAGTAACATGAGCTTCCGCACTGGTTGTACAAATGTGCTGGTTGTCATGCTTGGCACAAGGGTCCTTTCCGCAGCCCCCCTTAAGCCGCGAAAACATTCAAGGGACATCAGCTTCTATACAAGCATGCCTAAAAGGGCTTCTGTGCATCAACAGTTCCCTATTTTTGGAAACCCCCACTTAGGACCCCCATTTAGGTCTCGACATGTGGGATTGCTGCGCACGTTTTCTCAGCCTGAGCTCATTTTGCCATCGCGACACCTTGCAGACCCATAGTAGCGAGAAGCTGTGATTGAGCTGAGTACGAAGATCTCATCCAGTTTGTTTTGCGGGCCCTTACCTGCAATGCGAAGCTCGAGGCTAAGCAATAATAATGTAGGAGCCTTTAGAATAGGGTTTTTGGGGTTCCTGTTTTTTGGTATAATCTACCCCCACACCCTATTCTAATTGTTAAAGGCCCCTATACCAAACCTTTTATAGTACCCCTTGTAGTATCCCTGAAAGGAACCCTTTACAAGGACCCCTGTTCTAGTTACTAAGGCCCCTGCATTACTTCCCTTCCCAACACCCAGTCACTTCTTGGACTTGGCTTTAGAAAGCTGTCAGTCGGTTGACGTCCCAATTGCAGACCTGAACACATGGGAGTTTCCGAAAGTAAGGGGTACGTTTTTTTTTGTTTTTTGTTTGGGGGGGTCCTTATACTGCTCATACTATTCAGGGTACTATATTAGGGTCCCCTATTTTCGGGAACCCCCACATCACCAGCTTTCAGCTTAGCTTGGGAGTATACACTTAAACCTTAAACCATCCACCAGACACCCCAAGCCCTAACCCTAAATCCAATACACCTAAACCTAAGACAAACCATGCGCCAGAAACCCCAAACCCTAATCTTTGTAAGCCCTATAAACCCTATACACCTACACCCTTATAAACCCTATACACCTAAACCCTAAAAACCCTTATAAACCCTATACGCCTAAACCCAAAACCCTTATAAACGTTCATAAACCCTATACGCCTAAACCCTAAACCCTTATAAACCCAAATGAGTCCTATACACCCAAACCCCGTTACCCAAACCCGCACGTCCGGTGCCCGCTGCCAAGACGGAAGGTGACCAGTTGCTGCCGGCAGTCGTAGCCACCACCGGAGGACGGCGAAAATGGGACCTCGACGGTTTCGGGGTTCAAGGGTTTAGGGGTTGAAGGTTTTAGGGGTTTAAGGGTTTCGGGGTTGAAGGGTTTAGGGGTTGAAGGGTTTAGGGTCAAGGGTTTACTCCGGGGGTGCTTGGAAGCAATTTCGTTCTTTTCGGCTTCTTTCCTCCCTGAGAAGCAGCTACAAGTAGGATTCTTGCAAGGGCACCAAGTTCAGGATAGTGTGGAGTGATAAAACGATACCTCAAAGCTGAAGGTGCTAAAGTGCCCAGACCCAGCCCGGCCTTCCCCAGTGCTGCGTGGAGATGCCTTAAACCCTAAACCCTAAACCGCCGAGAGCGCCGCTGACCAGTTGCATGGGCTTTCGAGGCTCTGACCGAGACCCGTGGCTGAGCGTCTCGACAGAACGGTGAGGGAGGGTCAGCCCGTTATAATGAGGACCCCAAATCTACGACCATTGAGGTCATTCGTGTTTTTGGGGTGTGGCTTGGGCGGCTCTGCGGGATTTTTTCAGGGGGCTCTGGGGCCCTGGGAGCCGGTGGGCTTCCAGGGCTTTGTGAAGGCTGCAGGTCTTTTGGGGCCTGCCAGGATGTAGTGTTTACACTTCGAGCGTCCTTATAGACAGGGTGCGAGGGGGTTGTCTGAATGAAAACCTTGCATATCGCCGAGCAGAGGCAGACGCAAGCGCGCGATAAGTGGGCGCGTAGCTACTGCCAATGTAAAGTGGCGCAGCCACCGTGTGCACGCTGTATAGGCACCCTTAAACCCTAGGCCCTAAACCCCCTAAGCCGCCCTAAATCCTAAGCCTCTAAACCTTGAACCCCTAAACCCTAAACCCTTCGTGCGAGTGTGTGTGTGTGTGTGTCGAAACCCCAAACCCTAAGCCTCCAGACCCTGAACCCCTAAACCCCTAACCCTAAACCCTAAGCCTCCAGACCCTGAACCCCTAAACCCTAAACCCCTAAACCCTAAACCCTAAGCACCCAAACCCTGAACCGGGCAATGCCAGGACTAGCTGCCACCAGGTTTCACGCACTCTGAAGAGCAGGGGCCCCGAGGCCGAGAACAGCGGCAGAGCTCTGCGAACCCTGGGACCTCCCAAAGAGGCTTTAGGGGTTTAGTGGTTTAGGGGTTTAGGGTTGAGGGGTTTAGGGGTTGAAGGGTTATGGGTTTACGGGTTTAGGGTTTAAGGGTTTAGGGTTCAGGGGTTTAGGGGTTTAGGGCTTAAGGGGTTTAGAGTTTCGGCAATGGGTGATGCCTTTGAAGGAATAAAAAGCGGGACCCTAAGACCATTCGAAGCCTAAGCCATACGATTGTATATCTGAACCCTTCAACAGCTCCAAACCATTAAGCCAGTGTTTCTGCGGCTCGCAAGCTTTCCACACCCTAGTCCACACCTCAGAGACCCCCCCCAAAAAAAACACATAGAAATACTGCTGAACTTCACTAGCCCGTGGGCCCTGTCCCTTCATCCCCTATATCAGCCTCACACCCTGGAGCAAACCATGATACCTCTGTAGCCCAACATGCACAATTCGACAGGTCCCTTTATCCCAACCTGACAAGCACGCAAGATAGGATATACATAGACATATGCACGTGCATAAGCTTACACTTCCCCTGATTCGCGACATCTCTTGACCCTCAAATCAGAAGCCCTGAACCTTAAACTCCCGCATGCAAGGCATGGAATCCTGGACCCGGACCCAGTCCCTGACAGCCACAGCCCCAGCACTACTAAAACTAGAGTACTGAACTCGTAACTCCTCAGGGCCGAAATCGTGAGCAATATGAACCTTATAAACACTAAACATCCATCGGTTCAGGGTTTTGGGTTTAATTATCGAAATTATAGACCTTCACCTGGAAACTCAAAACCCTCCTACAATCACCAAGCCAAAGCTCTCAAAGGTTCCGTAGAGAGCCTTCGTGGAATTCCGCAAACCCCGGACGGCAAACCGCCTAAACTACACCAATTAAAACCTAAAGTTTAGACCCAAAACCTAAAACCCTATAAACCCTAGACCCTAAACCCTAACTTTACCCTAAACCCCAACTGTACCCTAAGCCCTAAGACCCGAAGCCCTAAAACCAAAAGCCGAAGCTCGCTGACAGCTGCGTCCTCGGAGCCGCCTTTTGTCTGCTCGGCCGACGAACTTGGGGAGACCTGAGGAAATAAACCCCCCGGAAGCCCTGCTTTAAGAGCCCCTTTCAGGCTTTAGGGGTTTAGGGTTTAGGGTTTAGGGTTCTTTAGGGAGACCTCGTTCAACAAAAAGGGTTCTTTAGGGGTTTAGGGTTTAAGAGCTCCTTTCAGGCTGTAGGGGTTTAGGGTTTAGGGTTTAAGAGCTCCTTTCAGGCTTTAGGGGTTTAGGGTTTAGGGTTTAAGAGCTCCTTTCAGGGTTCCTGTAGCGGTTCTAGAGAGTCAAGTTTTCTGATCTCGGGAATCTCGGGTTTAGCATTTAGATTTTTGATGCTAATTTCTAAGAGATGGCATAGAGGGTGCTAGCCAGTCACCATATCATCTTCATTATCGTCAATACAAGGAAGGCTGAAAACTCCTCAGCCCGAGACCCGAAGTTCGAGTCCCGGCGCATCGGTGGACCCAAGTCGCCTCGGCACCGCGGGCAGCGACTGCTTTTAGTAGCAACACATGCCCGGGCAAGAGAATGATTGAAACTCCTTTTAATTTAGCACCAGGAACACGTCTTACGCGAACAGCTCATTTGGCCTGTGAATGGAAGCTTGGAGTGGAAAGCTGCACGCTGCCGCAAACAGCCGGCCCAGTTTCATGCCGTCTCAGTGTTGATAATCATTGCCGTGATCCAATGCAGCTGCGATGCTCATGCCCCGATCTGGCTAAGAGCTGTCGCGCCTGTATATAGTACTGGACGAACATGACCCAAACATGTTCAATGCGGCTTGCAGCTTGTGGCGTTGCACAAAAGGAATTTGGAAGCCCGTGGTGCCTTTCCAGCCGATAGCCGTATGTCATCCAACTCGACGTTTTGCCTTTTTGCTCTGTTTTTTTTGGGACATGCGTTTTGTAGATGAAATCCTGCTTGTCTCGGCTGCTGTCAAGCATATGCAAGACCCTGTGCCTCTTGAGCCCCCTGGCCTGCCAACAGCCTTGGGCAGTTTCGGGTTCATGCTTAGGGATTTAGGGCAGGCGGGCGTGTACAAGTCCGCGCAAAAGGGTTTGGGTTCAGATGCCCTCCGGTGTCTGCAGCGGGTTTACCCAGGTGCTCTTGTTTTCGTGTCAGTTCTGGGCGAGCCGATGATGTTCTTCAATTCATGTACTGAAATTGAAGCAACATATGCGCAGGCAAGGCCTGCATCTAACTGTCACATGGTTTCTTCAGCAAGGCTCCGAACGTGAAGCTATCATTCAGAACAGTACAGTGCCCATAGTCATGAGAATAGCAACTGTTATGACCATCATCAAA